GAAACTACTTTGTTTGGCCTTCCAAAAGAGGACACGACTAGAAATCAGTGGTTAAGTTGTATTTACAACACTGTTCCAGAACACTTCAACCCAAATATTCAGATATGTGCATCACATTTTATGTAGGATTGTTTCCTGATCCTGGGAGAGTAGACTACAATGCCGGCTGTTCTGACTCAGAGACTTTAAGTAAGTTTTTATATATAAAGAATTTGCCACAGATGATTCAAACTGGAGTTTTGAGCAGTGTAGAGAAGTGCTTGTTGTTTGTCAATTCTCCGATCACAAATGCAGACATGGTTTTATGTTTACGCGGCGCAATATGCAACTCAAAGCGTAAAAACACAGTATAAGTCATTATAATCAGTAATTATGTCCCCACTGGATGCTACAAATGCCTCATTTGGCTGGCCAATCACAGCACACCTCACTTTTCAGACCGATGAGCTTTGTAAAAATCGACGCGTTTCAGAAAGGCGGGGCATAGAGGAGAAACAATAATGTACAGTATGTGGAAAATAATGTGTTTTTTGAACCTTAAACCGCATAAACACATTTCATTACACCAAATACACTAAATAATGTTCTTTTTAGCAACATCATATAACCCCTTTAACAATATTTAATTTTTTTATTGTGTATGCCTTTATATACAGTATATATATATATATATAAACAATGATTGGTTTCGTGTTTTGTTGTCGTGCTGTCTAAAGCTGAGACTAAGATTTATTTTTATTTATTTATTTATTTTTTACTTAAAGGGATTTTTTGCGACCAGAATTTATTTTTTGTGTAAGAAGTTTTGCTGCTTATCCGGACAGTTTCAGCAGTGCCCTGATGATGGGTTTAACTGGCATCTAAATCTCTTCACACGTCACTACACACAACCGAGATAAAACTGTCAGAGGAAAGATGTTAGAACTGCATTAAATGTTGCTGACAAAGTGTGTTGTCTGTGTCAGATGATGCGCATTGATCTGAAACTCTAAATTCATCTCAATGGCAAAACAGGAGTTTTTAGGCCATTTGTAGCATCCATTCAGCATACTACAGTTTAAACTGCTTTGTAACATATAGGTTTTTATTGTACAGAATAGTATACAGTATATGCTATGTAGATGCAGGATGAGATGCATTAAGAGCCACTGATTTACATTTAGTTTCTCCATATTTTGTTCAGTAATAGAGCCCATAAATCATTGGATGGTTGATAGGTGCTTACCGGATCCACAATGAATTTAATACTGAATAGAGTATTAATGCAGAGTTGATGAATCCTGCTATCTGCTTAAAGACACACTCTAAAAAATGCTGGGTTAAATACAACCCAGTGCTGGATAAAATAAGGACAAACCCAGCAATTGTGTTGTTTTGACCCAGCGGTTGGGTTAAATGTTTAAACCAACCTTCTGGGTAGTAACCCAACCGCTGCGTCAAAACAACCCAGTTGCTGGGTTGTCCCTATTTTACCCAGCACTGGGTTGCATTTAACGCAGCATTTTTAAGAGTGCACTTTGCTAAAAGAACAATTTTGCCAAAAATGAAAATTTACTCACCCTTTTGTGTTCCACTGACAAAAATACTAGCATAGAGGTTTTTATTGACTTAAAAGTGAGTAAATAATGACAGAATATTCAACTGATACTTTTCAGGGGATTCTCTTTGCATGCATCTGTTTGGATTAAACCACTTAATATGCAAACTCACAAATTCACTTCCAAACCATTGCGTTATGGGAAGGGCATTAAGAGCTCCATGCACAGAGCAAGCAGTGGCAGGAGTCCACCTGTTGTAATTGCCACGACATTTATCAGCTATAATGATTGCAATAGGATTTAATTTGCTTCTCCAAAGAATGTTCCATTATGTTCAGTGAGCTAGATTATTGAACCAGTTTAGTTGTTTTATTTTTGTTTTGTGAAAATGAATATGCTGCACAACCACAGCATGGGAGACATTATGTCTAGAAGCAATATTTGGCATGTTCTTTGATGTATATGCATAATATAGGATAATACAAACCACAAATCTAAAATTGCTTTTGGAATACCCATCATGAAAGAACAAGAGATAATACAATTTTAATGGGATTTTTTAACGATTGGGTTTTTGGAAAACTTCCATGTAAGAACTCTGAAAATTACATTCACGACACCATTGTCGACATTAATTTTGGCGAGGTTTTTGTTTTTAAATAATTTTAAAGTGACTTTAAACTATTAAAAAAAAATGCCTGGTCATGTAGGCGTATATATAATGCCAATATATAAATTTATTTAATACACGAGTTTCACAATTTGAGTTGAATTACTGAAATAAATGAACTTTTCCACGACATTCTAATTTATTGAGATGCACCTGTATATATATATATATATATATATATAAACCAGCCATATTAATATAGACAACACGTAAGCGTTTTTTGCTTTTAAAAGTGTACTTATAGACTTCTAAGTTGTGCAATATTCCCATGTGATGCTTTAATGGATAATGGTGTAAAATATTTTTGAATCAAAGCATCTTGATGAGACCTCTATACCCCTCTGAGTTCATGAATAATTCAGTTTACAACCTTGAATGCAAATGAAGGTGAATGATACCAAGATTTTCCGTTTAATTTAATGTTCCATCTGGATGGGTTTTTGCTATATTGCAGCTTTTACATGTCATAACCAATAACCTTCCGTGCTGTTATTGAAGATGTAATGTGCATGAATTCCCTGCAAAATATTTGTCTAATTTTATCTAGCCAATAACTGTTGATATTGTGATTCTTTGAGAGCATGCAGACCATTAGACAGATTTCTTTATCTCCTGTTGATCTAATGGTCAATTACCAAGTCAGAATCTCCTCTTGGACTGTTTAAACTCATCAAACTGAAGTCCAATTATTCTGTCTGTCAGAAAACCGCTGTGAGGGGGGCCTATTTAATTTAGAGTGGCTTTGAAGATTCTTTTGATTATCCAGTCATATTTTGGCAGATATTAAAATCATTCAGCAATAATTCAGTTAATCTTCCTTCTTTTTTTCTTCACGTGTCAACCAAAGAAAAAAAGACAGTGTTGTTGTTTTTTTCTTGAAAGTCTTTCACTCACAATTTAGACTCAAAGCTAAGTTCCTGATAATTTCCCCAATGCCAACAACTGCACACGGACCAAAGACCAGCGATATAGCGCATTAGAACAGAGGTTCTCAAACCTCTCCATGAAGTACCCCCAGCATTGCACATTTTTTATGTCTCCCTATATCTGACACACCCACTTCAGGTCTTGCAGTCCCCACTAATGAGCTGGTGAGTTGAATCAGGTGTGATAGATAAGGGAGACATATAAAATGTGCAGTGCTGGGGGCACTTCATGGAGAGGTTTGAGAACCACTGCATTAGAAGAAGGATTTTAGATTACTTCAAGACTCATATAGGTAATGTCTCGTAAAATACTCCATCGTTCTGTGATTATGAATAAAGTTATTAATTTAAAATTTGCCTCTGTTGGGAAAGGGATCATGTAAAAAGTCCACACTTTTACCATAGTAACTGTCGCTTGACCATGTCATGTGTAGTCAACGCACAGTAACCACAAAATATACCATGCTTCTCCTACCGTGACTGTAGTTTTACTGTGGTATTTGTAGTTAAAGCACAATGACCTCAATACTTAGCTATGGGTTTACCTCAGTAACCGTAGTTTTACTGTGGTATTTGTAGTTAAAGCACAATACCTCAATAACGTTACTTACTATGGGTTTACCTCAGTAACTGTAGTTTTACTGTGGTATTTGTAGTTAAAGCACAATAACCTCAAAACTTACAATGATTTTACCTCAGTAACATATTTTTTACCGTGGTATTTATAGTTAAAGCACAGTAACAACAACACTTACCATGTTTTTACTACAGTGACTGTACTTTTAATGTGGTATTTGTAGTTAAATCACAATAACCTCAATACTTACTATGGGTTTACATAGTAACCGTAGTTTTAATGTGGTATTTGTAGTTAAAGCACAGTAACAACAATACTTACCATGTTTTTTTACCACAGTAACCGTTTTTTACTCTATACTATTTGTAAAGCACAGTAACCACAACGCTTGCCATGCCTTTGATACGTTTTTGTGAAGTAATTGTAATTCGGTATTTCTTTCTGTCTTGCAGTTACGTCACATCACATACTCCAGCAGCTCTTTTAAGAAGCGATCTCTTTTAAAGGTTCTCTCTCTCTCTCTCTCTCTCTCTCTCTCTCTCTCAGTTTTTCCTTTCCTATTTTTCCAATCTGGCAGCAGGCCCCTTCTGGCCCATATGAGGTGATAACCACTGATAATGCTCATTCAATCGAGTGATAACATTCGAAGTGGGTGGTTCCTAAAAGCATCATGAATGAGTTTTCCAGTTTCTGCCTCGACTCTAACCTTAACTTCTATTCTGTGACACATTGTGAAACTCACTGCAAGTAAACATTACAATCTGTTCAAAATAAGAAATAAATCGGGACCTTGGGAAAACCTTTGTTGAATAACCAACTGCAAAAACATTAATTCATGTCATGTCAGTGTTTTCATAAGAGACTTACACACAGCGAGTATTCACAGAGAGGAAATGTAATATTCACAATACAGTGGAGTGGTAATGAAACAATGTAACTCATAATTCTACGACAGCTTGGCATATTCAATGGGGAATCCATTAGGAGTACAGTTACATATGACTGGGTAATTATTTCTAGTTAAGCCAATATATATTCAGCTGTCTAAGCCATTTGCCTTTTCATTGAGTTTGTATTGTCTTTAACAGAAACCCATTTGTCGGTCTTGAGCTGGCATACTCTGATTTATTCAAATACTCTGACTTTTTATCAGCACAAAACCACTAATATATATTGGACTTTTAGATAGTTTTTAACAGTTTCTTTTTTTTCAGTAGAGATAAGCAATTGTGATTTTTCTTTTTATAAAATGTGCCCTGTTGTGTTGTTTCCTGAATAAATAAATGTTGTTGTTTTTTTAATCATTTGAGTAAATGATTCAATGATGTTTGGACGTATCATTTCAAACACTTTGATTAACCACTTGTTCCAGTCTTTGGGTTTTGTTGGTGAACTGGGTTAAAAATACTTTATAGGTATTAGATTTCTATCTGCAGGGACCTGACATATCACCTGACCTTTTGTCCCCTACTGACCAAACTCCCAGTTTGTGACATAACACACCATAGCTGGAGAGTGTGAGCAGAATATTAATCAAGACACTCAAACTAGCAGCCCATCCATCACAGCATGACAAATAACAGAGGAGGGAAAGCACACAGGATCACAGTGAGACACGATCACGATGTTCTGCAGTGCATTGGTCTATAAACAGCTTTTCATTATTCGTAAGAATTTTTAACTAACAATAAGCATTTAAAATTGGCATATTGCTTGGTGGTTGGCCCAATTCAAAATAATTGTAGTGTTTAATGACAGCTATTTATAAACAAATTATTACATTTTAAAATGTAATTTTTAAGGAATTAAGGTTTATTAACACAGTTAGGGTTTTAGAGACACATTAAAATCTACTTGTTTCTTCTAAATGGCCTGTAAATAATGATTACTGTATTAATTAATTAATTAATTAATTCATTCATTCATTCATTCGTTCGTTTATTCATTCATTCCTTTTCTGCAGACCAAAGTGCTTTACAATCAACATACAGCTACATACAATACAAAAAACACAAACAATCCAAATAAAAACACAGATACTAGCCCAACTCCTTGAAAGCTAATGACAAGAAATAATTTTGAACCCCAATTAATTAATTAATTAATTAATTCATTCATTCATTAATTCGTTCGTTTATTCATTCATTCCTTTTCTGCAGACCAAAGTGCTTTACAATCAACATACAGCTACATACAATACAAAAAAACACAAACAATCCAAATAAAAACACAGATACTAGCCCAACTCCTTGAAAGCTAATGACAAGAAATAATTTTGAACCCCAGCTTTGAAAAAATGTATGGATGTAATCTCTCTAATCTCAGATGGTAGAGGCTATTCCAAAGCCTTGGACCTGCAACAGCAAAGGCCTGATCCCCTTTCAGCTTTAAATGAGTTTGTGGGACAGTAAGAAACCTTGTGCTTTATCCTGAAATCCACTGGTAGCCATCTGAGTGAAGCCAAGATAGGAGAGATGTGTTGACTTTATTCCAAAATCACTTACATACAGCAGGCATTTGTTTATATTTCTAACAAAAAGACATAGTTGGTCCAAAACAATGAATAATTTAAGTCAAGCACAGCCTGCAGCTCATGCTGGTGAAGATAAAACCACCAACTAGCTGCCCGCTAGATGTATGTCGGATTTAAAAGGCAGTTTACTGGAGAAAGCAGAAAGACATGCGACATGTAAATGCAGCTGAGAGGAGCTAAAGAGATGAAAATAACATCTAGAAGAAAGATTTAGTAATGTGGAAGTGATACCATGGTTTTAGAGAGCCAGTGTGCTGGAACAAGGTCCAGAAATTTGTAATGCTGTTGATACCCAACAAACACAGCTGGGATATGCAGTTAAAGCTCTACAGGTGTGGTATTTCTTCCAGACATAGACCATATAAACAACTAACAATATTGAATATTTATTTATTTAATTATTAAACCTGACATACAGAAGCAAATCAATCTTTTTTTTCTTGTTCTTCTTGGTGCTTACAAATGGGTGCTTACAAATTATTATTAGTTATTTTATTTGATTTTATTTTCATTTTCAATTTTAATTGGGGTTACATTTTTAAAAAGCCAGCAAATAAAGTTTGGTAACTATGAACATTTGGTATCTCTGAAAAACTGCATATGTCCTCTTTCACTGTGGCATATGGCAGAGAACCTCCCTAAAAATAAATGTCTTCTGCAGTGGACAAAAATTAATTGCTCTTCCCAAGAGAATCAATACTTTCAACACAAGTTGAGTCGAGATTGAATTGATATATATTGATGATATTAATATTAGGAGCTTCAGTGTAAAGCAGTGAGTTTACCAACAGCTCATAAACAGTCTACTGTATTTTTCTCCACCTCAGAGAGATCTGACTGAGGATGGTGGGAATAAACAGTGCCAGGCACTGTTTTGGCTGCTTGCGCGGTATAAATTCATATGAATTGCAGTTGTTCAGCCAGATATATGAAGAAGCGTGAGGCGGTTTTCGACTAACCAGTCCACTGGTTTTATGAACCTCATTACACAATGCTGTTTAGGTCCCATTGAATAGAAATATTGTCAATGTGAAAACGAGCACATCTGTGCCAGTGTAAATTCTTTCAATGGGATTTTCTCCTGCTATCAGTTTCTGGCTTCTATCAGTTTTATCTTCTATAAGAATACACTCGGAGCTAATAATAGCGTCTTCACTCGAAGGTAATAATAGTGTTTTCTGAGGTGCTGTCCATGGATTTATTGACAAAGGGACACGAGCTGGTTCAATATGCTTGCTCTTGTGTGCTGAGCATCATGGGAAATAAGCTGCACAAACAAATGACTTCAACACTGCAGATCTTTTTCTGTGGAGTGCATTTTCAGCATTAGCACTGCCCTTTATTTAGCACGTAACTATCTGAAGTGTATCTGTGAGCACCAATGTGGGTTTATACAATACAAATGTATTATACAATCATAAAATCTCCTCATAAATCATTATCCACTATATAACTGCTCAGGGATAGAGCCAAAAGTAATTAGTAATCTAAACCGGTTTGCCTCTAGTTTTTAAAAACCTGAAGTCCACTTGTTAACCACACGGGAAGAGAGCAACAGCTGGGCTGAGACAAGAGCTGAAAAAACCTTCAAGGCCAAACAGATTGCCCGCAGATCAATAATTACATCTTGCACAAACAATGAGCCTAGTAATCTGAGAAGCCGAGCTGCATCAATGACAAAAAGAAGAAATTAAACAGCAGAGAACTGTTGTGTCGCTGCCTCCCCGGTAGGCAAGAACCTTTAGAAACAGTAAGCAAAACGCACAGTGTGACATTTCAGAAAATTGTATATAAACAGTTTATAAAGTGCACTTTGGGCGCCAACAGAGTGGTGCAAAATACCACTGAGTAAAAACGTGTAACAGTTGGAAGACTCTTCAACCCGGTGGATGTCGGCAGATCAAATACAAGTAATGTCCTTTTGCTTTGTGAAGATAATGTAGACATCATGTTGTAGCTCTCGAAGCAATCACAATAACAACATTCACATCAAAGTAAATACTTAATATTTTTTTAACTGAAAAAAATCTACATCTATGTAACTTGTAGAAAGAGTCACAAAAAGAAGAAAGAAAATCACCACTCTCTTTTTTTTAAATGTAAAAGCATTTTAGCAATGTGAGACTTCCGGTGTCATTCGCTTTTAGTAATTTGTAGCTGTACGAAATGGCTTGTTATGTTGGTTGATATCTAAACTGGATTTCATATATTATTTTAATGTATTGTCATTATTATTAACATAGGCCTACTGGTTTGTAGCGCATAGCCTATAGTTCCCTTTCAGTCAGTCACGTTCGACGTTACGTCAGTCGTGACTGACGAATTGGGATCTCGCCCGAGAGCCCAATCACCTTCGAGTGTTAACTAAACAAGCCAATGACAGTTGGCGTGCGTGTTTCGTCACGCGCACCCCGCCCCGCAGCGCGGGTATAAAAGGAGAGCGCGTGCAAACGCACATTAGCTTCTCGCTTCGGAGCTGAGCCTTCTACAGGACGAATCTCCGCGAGTGTTCTGGAGAAACAGCTGGCGTTGGTGTGACGGCGTATCAGCGGGGGTTGCCATCCAGGCTGCTGAAACCTCAGCGAGCTGCAGCTTCCATTCTGCGGTCTCGCCGCGACCTCCCCTGGGCGCTTCAG